GCATACCACATCAACCTGCCGATGTATAAATACAAATTTGCTGCAGTAGTTGAGCAGTTCCTTTCCTCCCATCCAGACAGAGGGCTCCAGCTGACCTCAGTTTTCTACCTCTTTTACTTCTCCATCCTACAGCCATCCCTCCCCTGGAGAACGCTGAGAGCTGTGAGGGACATAGCACTTCAGTGGAATAAAAGGTGCAGGCTTGCTGGGATTATCCTCTATCCCCATTTAAAGCTATCACTGCCTCACTGAGATTAATCAATTCAAACTGGACTCTGTCTACCTAGGCTGTCTACCACTAACAACAGATACATGACTCAAAATGGACTTTGTTTTTTTTATTTTCCATTTTTATTAATTTCTTGTTGTTGTTGTTGTTTTTTTTTTGATTGTTTGAACTTCTTTTTATATGACAGTGAAGAGTTTCTAGTTTCTAGTCGTTGTTCTGCTATTTTTGTTCCTTTTCTTTCCCTCCCGTATTCTTCACCAGTTTCCAAAAGTTTACATGATCTTCCTTTGTCCTCCAGCTTCTACTCTCATCCTCTTATTCTATTTCTCTATTTTACCCCCTAACCCATTTAACTTTCCTCGCTGAGGGTAAAATCACTACACTGAATGCTAATTTACTGCATACTATTATCTGGTTTATTTTAGATTTTGTTATACAACCAGAAATATAGTTCACATGGTCCAGGATGCAAATTAATAGTTGCCACATCTTGTCATTTTCTAGGCTGTTTTTTCTACTATTGTTACTCTTGATCATACCACTTTAGCTAAGGTGATATAATTATTCTAATCAATTGCTCCTCCTGGTATACTAAGATTGAGCTTGCTTAGGGATCATAAAAAATAACAGGCCAGTGCCAAAAAACCAGGGACTAGACCAAGAAGGCAGCAACTTCTCATTCTCAATAAACAGAAGAGGTAGGATCTTGTATCCGATTTAAAACTCAAAAGCTAGCTACACCTAGAAGACAACTGTGAGAAACAGTCATTCCTTAAGGCTTTTACACACTAGCAAAAAGGTACTCACCATAAGTAATTTATAAGCATCAACCCAGGAATTAAACTAAAAGGAAGGAAGGATGAAAGGAAGGAAAAGATGGAGGGAGGGAGAAATGGAGGGAGGGAGGGAGGGAGAAAGGGAGGATGGGAGGGAGGGAGGGAGGGAGGGAGAGAGGAAGGATGGGAGGGAGGGAGGGAAGGAGGGAGGGAAATAAAATGAGAAGACAATCCAAGATGCAACTCTAGACTTCTAGTTCATCAAAAGGCAAACAAAGAAAACACTGAGGTGAAACAATTCCAAAGCCACCCACCTGGACTCTGAAGTATTCACATCAGAAATAACAAAGACATGAATGCCTCTAGGAAAAAATCAGATCAGAACTAATTTCTCAGAGAACCACAGAAAAGGTACCCATAATGAAAGACACGCTTCATGACTCTAGAAGATACAGATAAAAAATAGAGAATTTTAGGAAAATGATGGAAATCATAAACATCCAACATAGGAAAGAAATAGAATCCATGAAACAGTAAAGCAGCCGTGAGATTTAAAAATCCGTTCAAAGTATATGCAGCAGAATGGAACAATGTGATCACTGAGTATCAGATATAAAAGATAGGATTGCAGTTAGCAATCATGAAAAGAACGATTTTTTTAAAATAAGGAACTATGAGAAATCAATCTGGCAGCTGACAGACAAAGCAAATACTGTAAGATCAATGGGAGTTGTAGAAGATAGTGCAAGTGACATGAAAAATCTGTTCACAGAAGTACTGGCAGAAAACTTGCCAAGGAGGGAAAAAGAAGTTGACATACAAATAAGTGAGGCATAAAGAACTTCCATTAGTTATACTGACACATAATAGTCAAGAAATTCAACTTAAGAACAGAATCTTAAGAGCTGTTAAAGAAACAAATCACTTGTAAAAGAAAGCCCATCAGAATCATAGCAGACTTCTCAATACAAACCCTTAAGCCAAAGAGAATTCAGAGTGAAGTATTTCAAACCCTAAAGAAAACAACTTAAAAAAAAGAAAAAGAAAAAAGAAAACAACTTGCCACCCAGATTGATATACCTGCTAAAAAACTATCTTTCAAAATTAATGGAGAAATAAGATACTTCCATATAACAAAGAACACCTGAGGATATTCACGAACCCTGAACCATTACTCCAAAATGTTCTGAAGAATATTCTGGAGAGAGATACAAAAGATTACAACTCTTATGAATCCCAAACAGAATGAATTCACCAAGTCAGGCAACTAAACAGAGGGGAATGAAAGGGAGCCAAAAACAGGAAAATAACATGACAAGGACAAATCAATACATATCATCGATAAGCACCAATGTTAATGGTCTCAATCTACCAAACAAAAGAAACAGAGAGACAAAATGGATCAAGAAGCAAGACTCAGGAGTATGCCGCATACAAAAAAAAAAAAAAAAAAAAAAAATAATTCAAAAGGAAATTCATAGAAAGTCAAAGTCTAAAAAATAATTTGCCATGTGATATGAACCTGGAACAAAAGCAGAGGTAGAGGGGCTGGGGAGATAGCTCAGTAGAATAAGTGCTTCTCTGGCAAGCACAAAGATCTGAGTTCAATCCCCAGTTCCGCAAAAAAAAAAAAAAAAAAAAAAAAAGCAGAGGTAGCTATTTTCTTTGTGGACAAAGTAAATTTCAAGCTAAGACTAATGAAGAGAGACAAAGAAGAATACTACATTCCTGTAAAGGGAACAGTCCAAGAGGAAAAGATATCATAGATAGATAGATACGTAGGTAGATAGATAGATGGATAGATAGATAGATAGATAGATAGATAGATAGACAGATCTCCAGTGTACCCAACTCTATAAAACAACTATTAATATACATGACAAACCAAAAAAGCACTAATACAATTATACTGGGAGACCTCAATTCACTATTATAACAAATAGATCAACTAGACCAAAAAATAAAAAATGAGATACTAGAACTGAAACTTTTGACAAGTGGATTTAGAAGATGTCTACTGTGTTCTACCCCAAAATAGCAAAATACACGTTCTTCTCAGCTGCCAACAGGACAATCTCCAAAACAGACCACATACTAGCTCATACAATATGCTTAAGTAAAAGCACAGGAACTGAAATTATCCTATGGAAATTATGAAACCATGGTGTAAAGAAAGTGTATATCAATGGTAAAAGAAATCAAAACAATATCTTAAACCTATGGAAATTAAACAACACCCACTGGAACAACCAATGGAGCATAGGTAAAACTTTAAAAAAATAGTATCTACAATTCAAGGATATTGCCAATAAAACATATCAGAACATACGAGATAGAAAGAAAGCAGTCATACAAGAGAAATTTATAGTGGCAAATTCTCCTAGAAAATGAATAACAAATCAAACCCAAGCTCGTATAAGAAAGGAATTTGTAACATACAGAGCAGAAATTATTGTAATTGAAACTAGAAATAACCAAAGGAGGAAAGAGTTAGTTCTCTGAAAAAATAAATAGAACTGATAAACCTCTAACTAAAACTTATCGAAAGACAAAAGACTCAAACAATTAGGAATAAAAACAATGCTGAGATTCCATCTCACTCCAGAAAGCATAGCTACCATAAAGAAATCAATAACAATTGCTGGCAGGGATGAGGGGAAAAAAGAATCCTTCTCCATTACTGGTGACAGTGCAGAAATCAGTGTGAAGATTCCTCAAAAAACTAAAACTAGAGGTTTCATTTGACCCAGCTATTCCCCTTGTGGATATCCTCCAGGAAGAATAAAAAATATTATACCACAGCGATATATGTGCACCCATGTTTATAGTAGCACAGTATGCAATAAAAAGAACCCAAATGCCCATCAACCGAGAAAAGGATAAATATTTTTTTAAATATATAAATGGGAGTACTAGATGGCCATAAAGAAGAATAAATCTGAGGCACTTCTAGGTAAACAGATGAAACACGAGACCATATTGTTAAGTGAAATAAATCAGACTTACATGTGTATGCATCACATTGTCTCCCTGATATGAGAAACTGAAAGAGTAAATAAGAACTAAATGTACAATTGTGAAATGGGAAGAAAGTATTCAAAAGGAAAGAACTAGATTAAAGGAACGGGGTAGGAAGGAAGGAAGGAAAAGGGGGAAAAATAATTAAAAAATAATAAAATGTAAACAAAGGTTTGACAATAAAGGGTAAAAGAGATTTAAGGAAGAAACAACATTGGGAAAAATAGAGAAATCAAAATTTATCAGGTACAGGTACAAATTCCCTATGATGACTATGATCACTGTATATATTTAAAATTATACCAATAAACTTAATTATGTGAAAAAATGAAAAATGATTAGTTGTCATAAATTGATGGAATTAAAAAAAATTCAAAGAAGGCAGAAAAGTGTCCTGAAAACATTTTTGGGCATAGTGACCAACTAAGGAACAGTTTTTCTTTTGTTCTTATACTAAAAACAGGGCTGGGGAGATAGCTCAGTAGAGTAAGTGCTTGCCTGGCAAGCGCAAGGTCCTGAGTTCAATCCCCTGAACCACCAATAAATAAATAAATAAATAAATAAATAAATAAATAAATAAATAAAAACATATGCTAGCTTAAAAACTAAACAGGGCCACTTCTGTCTTGCTGTCTTGTCTTCTAAAAATATGCATTTCATCATGTGAAACAATAGTAAAAAACTGGGACCACCCGACTACATGGCCAGCTAATCACAAGGGCTCCCCTTGATTCAGTCATTTATAAAGGGGTCTCAGACCCTCCCCACCACGTGACACTTTTCAGCACGTACCAGTGCCCCTTCACAGAAGTTTGCCGGACTCCAAGGAACCTTTCTTTTACTTCCCGCCTGCACACATGGTCACACTGAGGTTCTCTGGTACTCCATAAGAATATACAGACACACATTTCTATCTAGTTGATCACAGATCTGATTTCTATTTTATATAACTGAATGAATTCATTATAATTACTTACCAGATCGATAAGGCTTTCCTGTATCCTGTTTAGAGTTGTCCTTAGTCTACTACTACTAAGGCCAAGGCCAGTTGATTCCAACTGAAAGAAAAAGAAAAGCATGTTACACTCCTCTGGAAACAATCTTTCAAATGATAGATCTTCAAATTAATCAAAATATTTGAAGACTTTTCACTTAACCTTCAGAGACAGTTTCCAAACTCTATATAAAATTTCAGACCCTGAAGAGACTGGGCTTTGATAACTGGCACCATCAGCAGAGCTGGCCCCACACCCGAGTACACTGAGCTGGCCACCAAGTCTGGG